TCCAGACACACAGATAAATTACAAGTTCCAGAGACAGCAATGCCTTAAATATGCCACACAGATAATAATGAGACAATCTGGTCCTGAAGAAGGATGCGGAAAGGTGAATTAATAGTAATACAAGTTCTTGGCCTCTTCAGAGACAGCTCCAAAAATCAACCTGGTTTTCTGACAGATACATTTCCCTGCATCTTCTAGCATATACCAAACCTGTCACCCATCAGTGGGGACCATCTGGTTAGCCAGCAGCTGGTAATTTCTCAAATCTCTATTTTTCTGTGACTCCTCCATTGGGTCTGGAAAAATACAATGCCATCAGTCTCATGCATACAAAAAAAAAAAAAAGAAAATCACAAACAAATAAATAAACAAGAATTCATCCTCTTTGCTGTGTGTGAGTGTCCCCACATTACATGCAGAACTTTGAAAAGGATGCTCATTGTGGAGTTTCTGTCTGCACCAGTCCCACTGTGGGAGACACTCATTTAAGTCATTGTTAGAGTTTGGGGAACATCTAAATTCAAAGATGGGGCAAACCCATTAAAAACAATGACAGATGGGGCTAACCCATCAAAGCGAGGATGCTCATGCTCAATGAAAAAAAAAAAAAAAGAGAAACGCTCTTTGTTTTCCATAAGCAACTCAAGGTATTTTTAGAGGAATTAATACAGCAATCCTTGGATTGTTTGAAAGCAGAAAGTTGCTGTATGCAGGTGATCCTTGGTGCCAAATTATCACCATGAGGGAAACTCAGTGGGAATCACAACCTGACCTTTCAGCTCATCACTGCCAAGCCCACCACTAAACCACGTCCCACATCCACATGTCTTTTAAACACCTCCTAGAAAAGTAACATGACTATCAACAAGATGTGGCCAGGCTTCCAAAAGCCAGCTGAGAACAAGCCTGACCACGGGCACTGCTGACATTCTCAGCATGAACATTTATGACCCCAAGGGTGCATGTGCCATCTGTGTTTTACGCACTTGCTACTGCTTGAAACCTGCCTGGAACTGCTCTCAATCTTCAGAGGTGTGCCCTTTGCACCGTACTAATAATCTACAAGTACAACTGCCAGCTGAGCAGGGGTTTATTTCTGTTTAACAAAAACAAAGTAACCTGCAGGAACGGATAAATAAGGCTTGAGCTCGGTTGCGCTTGGTGAGGAATATACAATACCTGGCAAAAAAACCAGATCCCAAGGACAGGTGTTCCTGAAGGAGAGACCAGGAGGGCAGTTTGGTGGCAGTTTGGAGTCTGGGCTGTCTCATCCTCCAGGGTGAGCAGAGATCCTGTGGGAGGAGGGTGAATCCTCAGCACTGCACTCCCCCTCTCCAGAGCACGCCTTGCACAGCAGGTGTTTGTGTGAGCTCTCACACCTTCCCTCTCTCTTGGCTGCAGTGCAGCTAATTTGGGTGGCACGGGACACAAGAAACCCTCCAGATGCTGCATCTCCTCGCATTTCACCTGATCTCCAGAAGCCTTGTCAGGGAAAAACATGGCACAGCACCAAGGATTATGGAATCGCTGCTTTTGATGAATTGGCAACAGGGATTTTATTGGATGTAACCCAGCATCAGGGGTTTGTTCCCAATTCCCCTTTCATTATGTTGTACCAGGACTGGAGCAGGGGCCCTGGTAGCTCCTGGCCCTGTAGCTGCGGGGACAACACACTGTAATCCCAAAAATGTCAGGAAAGACGTCTTCTTGTCTGACCCCAGCAACACTGTGACACAATCGTACCCAAAGTCTGCATGCAGTCCCTGATGCCATCAGCCACAGACAACCAAATCAAAGCGGATAAGCTGCACACCGAGGCTCCTGAGAGGCAGTTTGTTGAAAATCGAGTTCCAAACTTAAGCTTTAAAATAAACATATCAAGATAAACAGATTGGTCTTTGTTTCAGGCACAATCGGCTCGACTGTTTTTTTCTCCTTGTTGATGTTCTTAATGTTTTTCAATGTGTGATGCCATTTCCTGAGGACTGTCTCTGCTCCAGAAACCTGTGTTCTTCCTTGGCTTCTCTCTCTGCCTTTTGTGGTTTATACACACAGGTGACCAGTTTAGCACTGACTCAGGCTGGACACTAAGGCTTTTCACTCAGTCATTTTTACTCTGCTCTACACTTGAGCCACCAGTACGAGCTGTTTGCACCAGGTAATAACTCTTGTGCCAAAATGGGTGAGCAGCACCAGTGGCAAGTCTAGGGCAACCCCACTCCCACTGTGAGATGTGGTAAATGTGGAAGAAACCTCCTCCTTCCACCTAGGGAGGGAGAGGAACACACAGAGGCCAGCAGCAAGGGCTGCAGCAGACTCCTTTCTGTCCCAGCACAGCATCATCTGGAAAAATGTCATTGCACATCCCAAGGCAAGAGGGGACACAAATTCTGTGCAATTCTCTATCTGAGTTAGGCAATTCCCAAAGCTGGCTTTGAACAGCACAGAAACATGCTGTGTTCTGAGTTAGTGGAAGGAAAGTTTTAGAGAAAATTGGGAAATTTGGAGCAAACTGAGACTTGGGAGAAATGGTCAGCTGGCGACAGAAGGCATGTTAAAATAAATCTGTCCTAAGAAAACAGCATTTAGGTTGCTGTGTAGGCTGGGAAGGCATGAGTTGTAAGCAGTTGCAAACTTCATGCATTTAATTTCCACTCTTGGGACCATTAAATCTCAGTCCTTATCATTTAAGGGAGGAAATCACTATTGTGCTTCATTAGTGAAAAAAATAATGTGTTGATCTTTATGTGGGATATTCAAGTGCAGGTGTCATTGGACTTACCAATTCCTGCAAACATCCACTTTTTTAAGCACCCTGCCAACATTTACACTACTAAAAATCAAGACTCAGATGAAAGTGGGCCACATCTTTTTAACATGAAATTTACACATACCTCACACGTGTCTGCCTGAATTATCCAGAAACATGGCAATCAAATCTATTTTAATGAAAGATTGTAAAAGCAAACATGTTTTATTTCAGTCCGCAATATTCAAAACCTCTCTTCCTGGAACCCATGAAGTTCTGGCATTTATTTCAAAGATATCAGATCACTTATCTGCTTCTGAAGCATTCTTGTTCTCCTTTTTCTAATAAGGGATGTGATTTTAATTTTGATGTTGGCCTCAAGTGATCCCAAGTTAGAAATCTGGACCAGGAAAATGCTGCATTGCTTGGGAGATCTGTAAATTAACAAACTTACAGTGAGAGGAAACAAATGAAAAACAACTGATGGGGAAGGAATGTTCAGAGAGCTGCAAAGCTCCACATCAGGGGCTTTCTCCTGAGACTAAGCTAGAAGGGAGGCTTGGATCTGTTTGTATTCAGTTTGGATACTCAGAGTGGTTAAGATAACTCAGATACTCTGATACTCAACTCAGATACTCTGAGTTAAGACTCAGAGAGTCCTAAGAGCACAAGCCCTGCCTGGGAGTCACAGCTGGGACCTGCTCCGAGGGGCTGAGCAGACCCCCAGCCCTGCACCTCTGAACGGGGAAGGTGCCTCCCTTCCCTTCTGGGCATCATCCTGTATTTCACCAGCCTTCCTCTCCCCACACTAATCCCCTTTGTACCTGTGGTTCCTGGCACATCCTCTGCCAAGACACGGACTTTGAGCAAAAAAAAAAAAAAAAAAAAAAAAAGACAAAAAAAAAAAAAAAAAAAAAAAAAGACAAAAAAAAAAAAAAAAAAAAAAAAACCACAAAACAAAAAACCCCAAAAAAACAACACTCTGCTTTTTAGTGCCAAAGTTATTAATAATTAACATTCATAACACAAAACAGGTAAAACCGGTCCGGCAAAATAAAGCCCGGCATTTTATTATTATTTTAGGGTTTAATTTAGTCATCCTACAGTTACTCGGGCTCATGTTTGCAAATCACGCAGAGCTGGGACTTCACCCCTCCGGCCCGACCAGTTCTGGAGAGCGGCCGGCGGCGCCGGGGGGCAGCGGGGCGGCTGCCGAGGGGGGACCGCCCGCAAACCCCACCGCTCGGACCGGGACAGCGCCGGGGGAGCGGGGACACGGCCCACCGGGGCTCCCCGCCGCACGGGCGGCGGGACGGAGGAAATCGGGAAGCCCATCGGGAGCCCGTCGGGAGCCCGTCGGGGCTGCACGGCGCCGGGGCGCGGCGCCGGCTCGCCATTGCCCTCTGGAGGAGCCCGTGCCGTTCTCTGCGGTTCCCCGCGGGGCTGCGCTAAATTTGGGGATTGTTTTGTAGTTTTCTTGAATTTCTTTTTTTTTTTTTAATTTTGTTTGTTTGTTTTTGTTTTACGGACTATTCCCAGCTTCGCACCCAACGCGCCCTCGGCACCGCCGTTAGTGGGGGCTCCCCGGACCGCCGGGTGCCGGTGATGGAGGAGTCGAGAATAGCCCAGGGATGGCACGGGCCGTCTGAAGGACCGCGCCGTCGGGCGGTTCGGGAAATGAGCAAAAGGGGGAAAGAAAAAAGGACTAAAATAAAAAAGGGGAAAAAAAAAAAAAAAAAAAAAAAAAAAAAAAAAAAAAAAAAAATCAAAAATAAAATTAAAAAAAAAAAAAAGAAGAGAGAAAAAAGAAAAAAGGGAAAAGAAAAAGTATGGAAGAAATAAAGAAAAAACTAAGTTAAATAAAAACTAAAGAAAACTAAAAATAGTAAGTAGATGCAGCGGAAGGCGGACAAAACGCCCCGGCGGCCGCTCGGGATGCTCCCTTCCACCTCCTTCCCTTCCACACACGGGGCCGACCATTCCCGACGGGAGTTCCCAGCCCGCCGCCGGTGCGGGAGCCCCCGCGGCGCGCGGGTATCCCCGGCGCGTGTCCCCGTGTCCCGCCCCCCCGCGCCCGCGTCACCGCCCGCGCCCGCGTCACGGGGCGCTCGGGGCGGAGCCCCCGCTCTTTCTGCGCGCTCCCCGGACCCGTCCCGCCCCGTCCCCCCCTTCTCCCCACATGTCCGTTTGTTGTCGCCGTCGCCATGGCGGCGGGGGCGGCGCGCCCGCGAAGTGAGGTGATAAGAGGGAGCGGCGGCGACAGGAGCGCGCAGTGCCGAGAGGGGCGCGGCGGCGGCGGCGGCGGCGGCGGAGCGCGCCCGGCGCATCCCTCTTTCCATCCACCCCTTCTTTCCTCACTGGCACCACCGCGCCCCGTCCGTCCTGACCGGCTCCCCACATGGCCGCGGCTCCTCGGGAAACGCCTCGCGCCGCCGCCCTGCCGGTGCCGGAGCCGCGTTGCCGGGCGGCGGCCGCCGCCGCCTCCTCCTCTTCCTCGTCCCCGCGGCGCCGCTAGCGCCCCGCGCCCCGCTCCGCGCAGCGCCGAGCTAGAAGAAGAAGAAGAAGCAGCAGTAGCAGCAGCAGGGCGCTCCCGCGGCACCGCCCCGGCGGCGGCGCTGCGCCGGCTCCGCGCGGCTGGACGGCGCGTCCGTGCCGCCTCCCCTCCCTCTGCTCCGCGCCGGCGCTCGGGACCACGGCGGCGGCCGCGGCTCGGCGGGACGCCCCGGGACGGATGCGGTGGGTGCCGGGTGCGGCTGCCGCCTTCCCTCCCTCCTTCCCCTCCCTGCCCGGCCGCCGGCTGACTCCGCTGTGTCTCCCCACCGCAGGCAGCCCCCCGGCGAGTGCGAGATGGCGCTCAGCGGCACGCTCCTTCCCTCCATCGCCACCTTCGCGGCGGGCGCCGCGGGCCGCGAGAAGGCGGCGCGGCCCGCGGGCCCCGGCAACGTGAGTATCGGCGCCGCGGCGCCGCGGCACGCGGCTGAGCCGTGCGAATGTCCCCGCAGCGCTGGCGGGAGGAGCTGTCGCAGCTGAAGCGGCCGCCGCCGGCGCTGTCGGCGCGGCCGGTGGAGACGCCGCCGTCGGAGCTGGAAGGCGCCGCCGCTCTCGGGCCCCGCCGTGACGCCGAGGAGTTCAATGAGCTGCTGGACTTCGACTTCATCCTCTCCAACTCGCTCATGCACCAGGAGCCTGCCGCCGCCGCCATAGTGGTGGCTCCCGCCGCCACTCCGGCCCCCACCGCCAGCCCCTGCCCCGCCGGGCCCTTCGCCTACCCGCTGCCCCGGCCCGAGCCCGCCGGTCTCCTCTACGGCGGCGGCGGCGGCGGCTGCGACGGGGCGCCCGCCGCCGGGTCCGCCGCGCCCTTCAACCTGGCCGACATCACCGACGTGTCCCCCTCGGGAGGCTTCGTGGCCGAGCTGATGCGGCCAGACCTGGACGCGGTGTACCTGCCAGCGCCGGCCGCGCTGCCGCCCCTGGGCAGCCTGCAGGGCAAGTTCGTGGTGAAGGCGGTGGGCGACTACAGCCACCCGGGGCTTAGCCCCAAGAGCGGTCCGGCCGCCCCTCCGCCCGGCGCCGACGGCCCCGGCGCGCCCTACACCTCTCTGCCGCGGATGTGCCCCAAAATCAAGCAGGAGGCCGCGCCGCCGTGCACCCTGGCCCCGCCGCCGCCGCACGGGAGCAGCCCCCGAGGAGCCCCCCAGCACGACTTCGCCCTGGGCAGCCGCCCGCTGCCCGCCCGGAGTACGCCGTCGCTGGGGCCCGAGGAGATGCTGAGCGGCAGAGACTGTCTCCCCGCCACGCCGGGGCTGGGCCACCCCCCGCTGCCCCCGGGGTACCCCCCGGCTCCTGGCTACCCCACCTTCCTGCCCGAGCAGCTCTCTCCCGGCGCGCTCCAGTACCAAGGTGAGTCCCCGCGGTGCTGGGAGAGCGGATGTCCCGGCTGGGCGCTCGCCGTGCTCACTCCTCCCTGTCCGCCTCTAGAGCTGATGCCGCCGGGGAGCTGCCTGCCTGAGGAGACCAAGCCCAAGAGGGGACGCCGGTCGTGGCCTAGGAAAAGGACGGCCACACACACCTGTGACTATGCGGGCTGCGGCAAAACCTACACCAAGAGCTCTCATCTCAAGGCGCATCTGAGAACCCACACAGGTAAGTGCCAGCGCCGGGGTCAGGGGGATGTCCTGGCCTGAGGAGCACGGGGGTGTGACCCCCTCGGACAGTGGAAGGGTGTGAGCACAGGAGCAGGGTTAAAAGCAACAAGGTTTTTCCTTGCTGGGTTTCCGGGCTTTTTTTTTTTCCTCCCCCCTTGGCTACGTGAAGTCCTGAGCAGTCTTCCCTTATTGGCTTGACATTTTGCTTAATGGTTCAGAGTGACTCAGATGTGGGAGCGGGTGGGTTTCTTGCCAAGTCAGAGTTTGTTACTTCTCTCTTGCTATGTGGCTAGCTAATTAGCAGGCAGCTGGAAGCCGGCTGGGATTTGTTGCTCTGGATTGTGTTGCCCCACTTCTGAGAAGGCAGTAGCCCTCTCTTGAAGATAACTACTTTCTTTGCTGATGGTTAAATGCTTCGCACACGCACTCCTCTCCTGGCTGTAGGGCAAGAGGTTGTGCACTTCTGCAACCTGTTGTTCCCTTCTTGGGAAAACCGAGATATATTCCCTGAAGAGCAGGGGCTTTCAGCTTTGCTGGCAGTGCCAGTGGGGTGCTTCAGCCACCTGTAGAATATCTCCCCCTGCACCAGGATAGTTTAACTATCAATTGTCCACTGCTAGAATTGGGATAAAATATGCCCAAAGTCTGTGTCTGAGCCCAGTTTCTAACTTTGCAGCTGAGTGCAGAGTTGCAATAACTGAGCTTGTGAAAGCAGGTACAGCACACGGGTTTCGCCAGCGTGGGCATTCCGTAACAGTGACTAAATAACCTGGGAATTTGCATAATTTGAATCCCTGGGTTGTGAACCTGATTCAAAACTTTCTCCTGAAGGGGAGATGGGAAAGGGAAAATACACTGGCTCTGCAGTAATTAGGCTACGTCTTCAGGTAATGGCAGAAAGGCGGAAAAAAATTGGGCAAGTGATCAGTGAACATCTGCCCCAAGCCAGTCAGCACCATCCCCAGGATGTGTAGGACAGGGAGTTTGTAATTGTTGGGGAAGCTCATCTTGCCATCAACAGTAGTTTTTGTATAATGAAGACACTAGCAAGACTAAGTCCTTAATCAGGCTGAGCTAATGAAAACAGTTTACGGCTGTTTTTTCATTCTTGAGACCTACAATTATCTAAATACGTTGTCTGCTGAGCTATTTCTGGTTGGTATTTGATTGTGTAACACCGCCAGCAAAAATACACACTCATGTGCTCTGAAGTCTCGTGTGCAAGGCAGTGAAAACAAGCGTTTTAGTGAAGATTTTAGTGATACTAGCATTTCATAGCATCTGTACATCTTGAAAAGACAGCTTTGCTCTTTTAGTCTTTGTAGTTTGTTTGCAACTCCTTCGTGAAGTTCATTGTGTTTGACCACCCTTTGTTTTATCTAGGACAACTGATTGAAAGTAGGTGCTACAAGTGTTAGCCGCAAAAAAAAAACCCGAAAACCCTAACTCATGTGTTTCACTTCTTGTTTTTTGGGGTTTTTTTTCACAGGTGAGAAACCTTATCACTGTGACTGGGAAGGCTGCGGGTGGAAGTTTGCCCGATCTGATGAACTCACTCGTCACTACAGAAAACACACAGGCCACCGCCCTTTCCAGTGCCAGCGCTGTGACAGAGCCTTCTCCAGGTCAGACCACCTCGCCTTACACATGAAGAGGCACTTCTGATTTTGGGAAAGCAGTGGATCTTTCCCCTGACTGCCGCAGAGATTCAGTATTTACAGCACAAGGACTGTCTTCCACAAGACGGGGAGAACTCATTTTAAGCACTACAGATAATCGAGGTGAAGTCTTCCAAAGAGTGGAAAAGAGGGATAACTGCATACGGACATTGCAACTTTCTTTTTTTATAGTTATACACTTAAGAGAACCAAAGACGTTGGGGTCAATGACTGGATCTTCTATCATTCCATTTGTAAATCCAACTTGAATTATTTCTGGACTACAGAATGCCAAGGAGTGACTGGAAGTCACGGATATCAGGGTTAAATGGACTGCTTGTAGTTCGGAGGGTGGGGATATTACACAGGGAAATTACATTCCCTTAATTTCCTTTCAATGCAATATTAGATGTACATGTCATCTTGTACTTTCTTTTTTTTTTTTTTTTTCCTTCTAAAAGCCATTACAATGTTAAAAGAGGAGGAAAAATTCAGGTACAGAATTATATTTTAAAAGCCTATTTCATGGTGCTTAGTGACTGTTGGTTCTAGAGGTACCAAAAACAGGAAGCCAAAGTTCTCAAACTGCTGCATATCTGACAAGGAACTATTTTTTATCTTCCGATTGCCAATTATGACCTAAATCAGGTGAATAACCCTGGTTTATCTTTTTGTTAAGAAAATAACTTTATGCAGACAGTCTGTAATGCACTGTGGTTTCGATGTGCAATAGTTTGTACAATGGTTTATTCCCAAATATGCCTTAAGCAGAACAAATGTTTTCTATATAGTTCTTTACATAATAAATATGTAATATAAATTTAAGCAAACTTCTATTTTGTATATTTGTAAACTACGAAGTAATAATGAACGTTTTGTTGGAATTTGTATTTTGCATATTCAAGGTGAAAATAAGTTTTAAATAAACCTATAATATTTTATCTGAATTGTTGCTCTAGTTTTTTTCTGTGTATGGACATGGCCAAAGAAAGTTTGTTAGGTATTTGCTGGTGGTTGAGTTTACCAAGGCAAGGAGGGGGTGGTGGCAAATGCTTGTAGTTTCAAGACTCTGAAAGACAGGATTGTGTAAGCGCAGTGCTGATGTAACATCTCTTTTTAGGGAAAAAGGTGTGTGGAAAGTTTTTGCTCTGGATGTCGAGTTGCTGCTTATCTCACCTGCATGGGTAAAACTGTAATTTACCATTTTTAAAGTAACTCAGTTTAAATGATTTTTTAGAGGACATAGTTCTGTTGAGGACATAAGACCTTGTGCATCTGATGATAACAAATCCTAGAATATTTTTTTTTAGCAGTCTTTTCAGCAATGAAGGATTCCCATCTTCATTGCCTTGGATTTCTTAGGCAAGCCGGTGTAACCACCTCAGTGTGAGCAAAGGAAAACTCCGTAATGTCGAGCAAAGAATTAAACCCGGCTCGGAGAATAAAGGGCGCGTGCACAAAACACCGCTTAACCATCACCCGAACGGAGTTTTCTTTTGAAACCTGCTCTGTCCTGGGAACCCAGTCACTGAATGAAGAGCCAGGACTCCTGCAGGAATGCACACGTAGCCGGGGAAGGCTGACCATGCAGGGAATGAGGACGTGTAGCTGCGAGGTCCCCGGCGTCCCTCCAGTGGCGCGTGCCGTACCGCAGCTCTGGGGGCGGTGAGCCCGCCCCGGGTCATCGCCAGCCCCGTGGTGCTTCTCCTTCGGGGCCTCATTGTTCCAGCTGCCTTACAGAACGTGTAGCAAACAGATGATTTCCACATTAATGCCGGGTGAATAGGATCTGGTTTTCTCACTACTCTTCGACGAAAGGGAAGAAGCGATTCCACTTCAGCTGATCTGTAATGTCTGTCAGCTAGGAGTTTGGGTGTATGTGGTGCCCGATGAAGCTGAGGGGAAAAAAAAAAAAAAAAAAGCAGGCAAGAGGCTTTTGTATCTTTGTAGTAGTGAAAACAAAAGTGGCAATATCAATTTTTTTTGTCCGAATGTGCCTTTGGAATGCTACTAAAGTTCACATTTCAATGTGGTGTTTGAGTGGGGACCCTTGCTATTTCTCCCTCAATTTGTGTAAGTAATATAATGATGCAGAAAATATTTCTCACCCCTTATCACCTAGGCATGCTTTGTTCAACTGAAAGCTATCTTTGTTGATTTGGTTTATAGGTAACACAGGGAGTAGGGAATGTCTTGTTTGGTTTGCAAATAGCAAGCATTTAAAGCTAAATTAAAGTTATGAGTCATCCTTTATCTGAAGCTTTTTCCATGAGAAAACTTTTTTACAATTAAACCAGGCATTTTTTTACCTCCTCTGTTGCTCTGCTTGTGAATTCTGGATGAGAGATCCAGCACTGAAGGTCAGCATAGAAGCTGGCGTGTGCTGAGGGCCTGAAATGTCGTTGTCCCATCCAATAATGCCAGGGCACGCTTGGTAGGTGTAGGACCTCCTTTGTACGGCTGCCATTCAAAACGTCTTACATATGTCTAAGATGTATGTTCTGGCACATCTGTAAGTACTGAAATCTGAATCTTTCATCTGGAAAACTGGTTTCTTTTGCTTTTCAAGCATTCTGTCATTATGCACCCTTAAGAATTTGGTAAGGCACTGTAGCACTTAGTAAGGCATTATCTGCTTCAGCCAGCTTCAGTTTTCGCTTGATGTTTTTATGGACCCTAGGTTTCTAATTGCATGAACAATGGCATTCTTGAAACAGGGCATTGTTCCCTATTCCACTTGATTTATTTTTTTTTAATTCCCTTTTTTTCCCTGATCCTAACCCAGCTTTCGTCATGTATGAATTTCCAGACTGAAAGAGACAGGACTGTGACTTTGTATTTAAAAGGAAATGCTGCTGTGTCTTTAACCATTTCCAAATTGCTACTCCTATACTTTTTTGGGAGGACAGGAGCCAACAGCTCACTTTTTGCCATATAGCATTCAACACATGGGGGGCAGTCCTTACTCTTAAGGAGGTCTCTGGGGGAAATACTGAAATGAGCAGCACTCTGGTAAATTGAGCTGGAAACAGCACATTGTGTTTGCCACCTGTTTCGTCGTGTCTGCAATCCTGGAGTTGCACTTAGGTGCAGGATTGCACATGGATGCAGTGGAACAACACATGTATCAAAAAGCGTATCTCATAAAAACATATGTAAAACACTGAGAAGTCTTGTAAGTATGTCTTGAAAAACAAGATTTGTTTAGCGTTGCTAAAGCTGTACATGTGCCATTTTGCTGGGGCATCTAAAAGTCAGGGTTTGAGGTTAGTAGGGGTGGCCTCTGTGACATGGGGTGAGCACCTCCTGAGCTGCCCCAGAGCACTATTTCAGCTACTGAAGGCAAAATCTCTTGCGGCACAGAGTTATCTCTGCAGTCAAACTACAGCCGTCCTTAATCCTGCTCACCCCTAGCCCAAATCTCTCTGGAGCACGCTTAGCATGTAAAGATGGAGCTGCTTAAAACAAGATGGCACATGTCTGCCTGTTGAGTGCCAAGTATTCAAAAGTGGCACCAGAGTAAAAAACCTTCTCAGAGCTGCAGCTGCCATGCACTTGTCTGCTGCACACCATGGCCTGGGAGCCTGGGTTTGACTGTGACCCAGCACAAGTGGCTTCAGCCACCCCCTGTCACATGGAGAGCTACTTGCGAGAGAGTTTTCTTATCCCTCGTGATGGCTACCAGATCCTGCTGCAGCTGAACTCAACGGCAAATCTCACAAGGATTTATATTAAGCTGATATGAATCAGTGAATTTCATTCTCCTTCTCTTTAATAAGGGAAGATCAGAGACTGCTGCGGTTAATCACCCCGAGTGCTAACGGTTCGACAGAATTAGTTTACACAGGTTTCCTATGGGAGTGTGCTGGATCTTGGAGCTAGCCTGCTTTCACTGGAGTCCCTGGCAGACACTTTTAACAGCATTTGAGTATAAGAATTTCCAAGTTAACTTGTGTCTGTCCCTGGGCTTTCCTCCCCTCAGTGCAATTGGGTTGCGTGCTCAAAAGCAGCAGGAGAATAGGAATGGTTTGCAAGCTGGGGACAGACAGAGCAGTGGTTACACCACTCGAGTAGGACTTGGGCAGGGATCTGGCTGTTGTAGAAGAGCTGGTAGGAGGAAGTAAACTCAAGGTATGGTGAGCAAAACTGATATGGAGAGGAAGAGGAACACCACCACCACCACCACCACCAGCACCGCCACGTGTTGACTCAGGCTTGCCAGGAGAGCACCCCAGATTAAACTGCTGTATTTAGGCTCGGTGGATGTATCTCTGGACACCAAGAGAGATGAGTGTGTACTTAAAAGAGGGGAAGGCCCATCATTCACTGAAATTTAATTGAGGTCACATTGGCTTGGAGCCACAGGGGAACACACCCACATTCCCCTGTCTGCCGTACACCTGGATGACTCACGTTTTGTCTGCCCTTCGCTCTTGCCGTGAATTACCAGGGGAACATTTTCATTACTGCTGAAGGCATTGCCACTGAGCGCAGAAATTGTCTCTGTGGCATGGAAGTGGGCGGTGATGGTGTATCTGCAGCCTTGTTCTCCACCCTGGATGCATATAGGTATCTGTTAGTCTCTTTTTCACCTTTGGATGCATTACCTGTGAGCCCTCAAGGCTTGAACCTTAATGGTGTGAAAGACGGGAGGGGAAAAAGTGGCTTGTGCTTTATTAATGTTTATTCTATATTTAGAGCATGCATTCCCAGAGATTTACAGGAGACAGGCGGCCCTAATAGCTGCTCACAAGAGGCATTACACAGCTGCACCTTTTCCCTTCAGTAATGTTTTCCGTACTCTTGGAGCTGTGACTTCTTTTGTAACCAAGATGGTGATTTTCACACAGACCTGGCTAGCTTGGGGTCAACCTCATGACTTGCTAATTAAGAAGAAGAAGTTGTAGGGAACACGGAACACGCCAAGCTGCTTTCACTGTGAAACCTGGGTGAGCAGAAGGGTAATCATGTGCTGCTATCACCGCAGCCATCTTGCTGCAACCCTGAAAAGTTTTGCATGGTTTTGCTTTGGGTACAGCGTGCTTGTTTATCAAGCACAAGCTAAGGCTTGCTTAAATCTTGCCATTCAAGTTCTCCACTGTTAAACTTTCAGGCTTTATTCAACAAAATAATCCAGCTTCCCTGTGTTATTTGGTTTAAGGCCTTTAATTTTAAGAACAGATATCCCGCAGTTATCTAGAATGATTTACCCCACTACTGCCGCAGCAGTTAGGAAAGACCTGACAGGAAATGCCATGCCACCAGCACAAAGGGGTTCCTTTACTGGGAGCCTCCTCGATGGTGCTCAGAGTCTGTTTGTGCGTGTCCCAGAATGACAAAATAAGCTGAGTTGAAAGAGACCCTCAAGGATCATCAAGTCCAACTCCTGGCCCTTCACAGAATGATCCCTGAGTCCCACCATGTGCCCAAAAGCTTCCATTGTCCAAATGCTTCTTGAACTCTGTCAGGCTTGGTGCCGTGCCCGTTCCCTGGAGAGCCTGTTCCAGTGGCCAAATACCCCCTGGGGGAAGAACCTTCTCCTAATATCCAACCTAAACCTCTCTGACGCAACTTCAGGCCATTCCATGGATGCTGTCCCTGGTCAGCACAGACCAGAGATCAGTGCCTGCCCCTCCTCTTCCCCTCATGAGGCAGCTGCAGAGCTGCAGTGAGGCCTCCCCTCACTCTCCTCCATCTCAATAAACCAAGCGCCCTCAGCTGCTCCTCACGCAGCTTCCCCTCAGGCCCTGCACCATTCCCGTGGCCTCCTCTGCGCACTCTCTGACACTTTAATGCCTTTTTTATGTTGTGATGCCAGAACTGCACCCGATATTCCAGGTGAGGCCACCCCGGCCCAGCTCAGAGTAGGACAATCCCTCCCTGGCCCGGCCGGCCATGCCGGGCCTGTGCCCCCAGGACAGGGATGTGCCTCCTGGCTC